CTGCCCCTGCAGCATGGCACATGCTGGTGCTGGCCCTGGGTGCGTGGCACATGCTTGGCCCCGCCCCCAGGCCCGTGAGTGGCCCCGCCCTTGGACACATGGCACCTGAGCGGCCCTGCCCCCCAGACACCCAGCAGCCCCAAAACGTTGGGGACCACTAATCTAGACGCTCTTTGTCAACAGAAGCTTTGTTGACAATATCTGTCCTAAGCGTACGTCTAGACCGCATCCCTCTGTCGGCAAAGGGATGCAAATTAGGCAGGTCGACATTGCAAATGAAGCGGGGATTAAAATATCCCGTGCCTAATTTGCATAAAAATGGCCGCCGTTTTTGCCGACTCAGCATTTTGTCAGCAAAAAAGAAAAAAGCCTTTTTCGACAGATCCCGTCAACTTCCTTGCAGGAGGCATAAGGGATCTGTCGAAAAAGATTTTCTTTCTCGACAGATTGCTCCTCCAGACTGCCGCTGTTTGCCGACAAAGTGCTGAGTCGGCAAACACGGCGGCCATATTTATGCAAATTAGGCATGGGATATTTCAATCCCCGCTTCATTTGCAATGTCGACCCGTCTAATCTGCCGCCCTCTGCCGACAGAGGGGGGCAGTCTAGACGTACCTGAAGTGGGCAACAAAATGGCAAACGCAATTCAACCCTGATCCATGCAAAGTGGATCAAAAAAAAGTGGATCATTGGAAAAAATAATCCCAACTATACGTATAAAATAATGAGGAATAAATGAGCTATAACAGAGAGATCTTGGAGTCACTGGAGAGAATTCTCTGAAAACATCCATCCAACGTGCAACAGCTGTCGAAAAAGGAAACCGAAAGTTGGGAAACACTAAAAAAGGGACAGAAACGAAGACAGAGAACCCCGTCCGGAGGAACTTAGTTCCTGCAGGAGTGCTCCATTGGGAGGGGAAATTTGCAGCAGGGAGAACTCAGCTCCATATGAGAGCACAAGTAGCACAAACAGCACATAGCTAGGAACTGTTAACCTCCCCCCAGCCCCATAAGAGTAAACCTAATAAATGAGTCTACCCCAGAGCATTGGGTATGTCTGGTAACAACGGGGACTTTTCAGCTCGGAAAAGAGATAACGAAGGGGGGATATGAGCGAGGTCTCTAAAATCGTAATTGGTACGGAGGTTGTGAGCCCGTCCCATAACATACGAACGAGGGGTCACCCAATGAAATGAATAAGCAGCAGGTTTCAAACAAACGAAAAGACGTTTTTCTTCACGCAGCGCACCGACAACCTGTGGAACTCCTCGCCGGGGGATGTGGTGAAGGCCAGGATTTTACCAGGGTTCAAAAAAGAACTCCATACATTCATGGAGGGCAGGTCCATGGATGGCTGTTGGCCAGGATAGTGTCCCTGTTCTGTTCCCTCCCTCTGGGGCTCCTGCATTGGCCACCGGGGACAGACAGGACACGGGGCTGGACGGGCCTTTGGTCGGACCCCGTCTGGCTGTTTTTATGGTTGTCTCAAAGGACGCACCTTGACTATAAACTTGCCCAAAGATTTGCTGGGGGGTTTGCCGGACCTGACATAACGGGACCATGGGCTCTGACCCCTCTCGGAAGCAGCAGCC